CCTTGGCGAAATCCAGTCTGTCTCTGATGTTACGCGCGGAGAGACGTGGCTTCTTTGGTTGCTGGACGGCGACTAGGCCAGACAGTTTGAGGGCGTTGCCGACTGCTCTGGGGCAGATCTTAATGCCGTGGTCTGTTTCCAGTAGCTTTGCAGCTTCTATGCTAGTCTTCACCTCGCCTGAAGTCACAGCGCGAACAAGGATGTGCCTGTCACGTACTGAGAGCAGGCGCGGTCGGCCAGACCTCAGGACTGTTGGCCTAACCGCTAGGCTGCTGGTGCGCTGAGAGGCCTCTTGAGCGTATTTCTGAACTGTGCTCTTCCCTATCCCTAGCATTCTAGCGATTTGACGGAAGCTATGACCGCGTCGAAGCAAGGTCGCGATCCTATCTTTCTGGCGTGAAGCAAGAGACCGAATCGTTGCTATGAGCCTGGCGGGGTTAACGTTATGCCGTCGATAAAGACTAGGAGGCTAGGTTTGCAAGATCGCGAAATGCCGAGAGAAAATAGACCTAGACTCGAATCGGGAGCTAATTGTCCGCATCGAGTCTCGCTAGCAAAGTGGTGGACTCACTATAAGCAGTTCGATAAAATGTACAATACCATACAGCATAAGGATGCTTCACTCCTAAGTCACATGGTACAATGGGTACTTGGGGATAAATGTACACGATATATGTTGAAAATACAAAATCTTTTGACTAGTGTACCTTTTCAAGCCCAATAAATTCCATCGCTGTATATATGTTTGACACACCCCCTAGACTGCATAGGTGCAGTTCCTGATAAGAGAAGCGGCAGCTCAGGGTGGCACTACTAGTCCAACCTCTGAGTCAAGGGTCTAAAGACCAGTCAAACAAGGACAGACCAGTGCAAGGGCAAGGCCAGGGCGGCACTACTAGTCCAGCCACTGGGAGAGGCCACAAGGCCAGTCAAGAATAATATATATATAAAGGTCAGTACATAGTCGAGGCCCTAGCAGGTGAGAGGTAACATGAACAAGGCCTAGCTGTACACAGTTCCGCTGATGATCTTTAGGCGCAAGGGCCTTCGTAAAGATATCAGCTGTATTGGCACCGGAGGCCAAGTGTACTACGCGAGCCTGGCGACGCTGCTGCAGCTCGCGCAGGAGAAAGTACCGCAGCTGGATGTGCTTTGCTCTGCCCTCAAGTCGAGGCTCCTTACACAGGAGGATCATGGCCATGTTGTCACCGTGCAAGTTCGGTGCAGAGCTAGGCCGCTCACCTAAGTCAGTGAGCAGGAAGGTCAGCCAGCGGAGCTCCTATGCCGCCATGGCACCGGCGTAGATCTCGGCCTCACCGCTGGACTGGGCAACAGACGAGGAGCGAGTAGCTCTCCACGAGACAGCACCTGAAACAAGGCTAAAGCAGTAGCCCTGTGAGGACCTAAGGGTCTCTACGTCGTCTGCCCAAGAAGCGTCTGTGTGCCCAGTAAGGACCACTAGCATGCGTCCTCCTTGCACTAACCCCATGCCTGATGTGCTCACGAGATAACGCAAAACCCTCTTAGCGGCAGACCAGTGCTGAGGTCTGTGTCTGCCTGTGGCCACAAAGCGAGCCAGGATGCTGAGAGGGTATGCGAGATCTGGACGAGTGCAAGGCATCAGGTACATGAGGCAACCCACCAGCTCTGCGTAAGGGCCACAAGGCTTTGCCAGCTCCTCACAAACTGGAGCAGAGAGCCTGAGATCTACTGGAAGAGGTGTGGGCTGTGCGGAGGAGAATTGAAGGCCGAACATCTGAAGGACCTGGCGCACCAAGTGTGACTGGGTGAGAGTGATGGTGTGCGCTGCTCTGTCTCTGGAGATTTGCAGGCCCAGGTAGTGGCGCAGCTCTCCTAGGTCAGTGCAGGTGTGTCTCCTTAGCAGCTCAGCTTTCCCAAAGGCCAGCGCGGTGGTGTCTGCAATGGCAAAGACCAGATCGTCTACGTAAACAAGGATGTAGAACGGAGTCTGGCCAGAACGAACAAAGAGCGAGGGGTCTGCGGAAGAAGGAAAGAACTGCAGGTCTGCAAGGGTAGCATGCAGCATGTCGTGCCACTCGTAGGGAGCCTGACGCAAGCCGTAGACTGGGCGCCGCAGGAACCATTGGGTCCCAGGAGAGAAGGTTCCAGTGAAACCCTGAGGGCGACGCAGGTAGACCTGTTCGTGTAGTCTGCCCTGAAGAAACGATGTGGAGAAGTCGAGGGAGTGTAACTCGTAGTCACGCTGTACTACTACAAAGAGTAGTCATCTTCGGGGCCGGGACGAAGGTCTGAAAGAAGTCCACCCCCTCACGCTGACAAAAGCCTCTAGCCACCTAGCGCGCCTTGAAGACAGGCAGCTCTCCAAGAGGGCGCTTCACATTGAAGAACCAGCATCTATCGACTACGTTCACCCCAGGTGGAGGAACTGCGCCTCTGCGTAAGTGCGAGAGGTCGGGATGTCGAAAGCATCTAGGTCAACCTCAGGGACTAACAGTGTGGAACAGAGATGGGGAGCAGCCAAGAACAAGAAAGCAAGCTCGTACTGGCGGTCCTCCAGGACGTCACTGCCGAGGGCAGGAGCACCCCCGACAGACGGAGGACAGGCAGGGTCAGAAACCAGAGCGGTGGCGTAGTCAAGGCGGTGGGTAGAGGCGAAGTCAGTGACCGCAGCGACAAGAGCGTCAAGACACGAGACCGGAACAGAGGGGTCGGTAATGAGAGAGGCAAGGACCCGAGGAACTAGAGGACGAGCGGCGCGAAGGTAGTCAGACAGAGGGGGAGGCGCAACAACAAGGGAGGACGGAGGCGGCGACGGTAGGAGTGGAGAACGAGACGCGTGGGAATGAAGCAATATAGGATGAGAGCGGGGGACAGGGGAGAAGGGGCGAGCACGGGAGGGACAGCGAGACCAGACGTGAGACGGAGGCATCGGGTCAGGAGACAGAGGAGGGGACACAGGAGGGGAACGAGGAGGAAGACGAGCCGGAGACGAGTCCGGGGGAGGGAACACAGGGCCGTAGACAGGAAGGGGAGGACACGGCAGGGGAGGCACAGTCACGTTGTCAAGGGACGGAAGGCCAAGCAGGCGAAGGGCTGACACCGGCGGTGACTGCTGCTGCGGCGGCACGACACCGACACCGGGACGGCAAGCTGCTCCACAGCAACCTCCGGAACACTCCACTCCAGCACCCCCAGAAGGAACACCCCCAGATCTCGAAACCCTGCGAACACCTGTACCACCCCCAGGCCCGCCGGGACAAGCCACGACAAGAACCCCAGGACTAGTACCCACCCCAACGCCAGCACCCGCAGAGTCAACGAACTGCTGCTGCGACGGCTGCGGCGACGGCGGCGGCGGCTGCAACGACGGCTACGGCGGCGGCGGCGGCGGTGACGGCGGCTGCGACAGCGGCGGCGACGGCGGCTGCGAAGGCGGCGGAGGAGGAGACGCCTGGGAAGGGGCATGCGGCAAGGACTGCGCCGCAGGGCCACCAGAGTACGCAGACTCCTCGACCGGGACAACCGACGGGAGGGGAGTGACGTGAGACACACCAGACGGTGCAGGACGGGGAGGGGGGGGGGGCAGGGGCGACCGGGGAAGGGGTGACCAAAAACAGGGGGGGAGTAACAAGGGGACCACTATGGGAGAAGCGGCAGTAGAAGGAGACGGACTTGTCAAAGGTGACGTCACGGGAGTGAAAGAACCGGTGAGACGGCGGGTGGTAGAAGTGCCAATCGGACGAGTCAAGGGGGAAATCGAGGAAGACACAAGGGAGGGTGCGGGCAGTGAGCTTGTCTGTGCCAGAGGCACGAATGTGAGCAAGGCAGCCCCAGACGTGAAACGCAGATGCGACACCAAGAGACCCGGACCAAAGAAGGGTCGGCGAAACATGCGGCTGCTGGGGGTGCGGCCACAGGTTAAGCTGGTGAGCAGCGTAGCGAACAGCGAACAGCCACAGAAAATGGGGTGCACCGGCATGGATCATGGAGGTACGGGCCACCTCCATGACCAAGCTGATGCGTCGCTTAGCGACCCCATTCTGCTGTGGGGATTCCAGCAAGGTGAACGTCTGGGTGATGCCCTCCGCACGATAGAAATGACCAAGGACACCAGAGGCAAACTCGCCACCACGGTCGGAGTGGAACGCAAGACACGGAGACAGCGGTGGACACGCGCAGAGACAAGCTACGGGATGAGAACATCAGGCACGTCGGCCTTCTGCTCCAGGGGAAACACCATGGTGTAGCGCGTGTAGTCGTCGAAAAGCACTAGGAAGTAGCGCTCTCGACGCGGCCCATGGACGCGGGCGGGGCCCCAGACGAACATGCGCAAAGTCTGTAGCGGTGCGGCGGTAGGGGGGAACGAGGAGGAGTGAGAGGCACGGCAGAGCTGGCCCTCAACACAGGGCGTGCACGGTGGTGCTGGGGAGGAGGGCAACTCGTGGAACGACCCTGGGAGACCTAGGACAAGACCGTGCTATAATATGTGACGCTGACGCTGGAGTGCGGGGTGACCGAGACGGTTGTGCCACAGGAGTGTCGGGTGAGTGAGCGACTGACAGGAGCAGGTCGCAGCAACCTGGGTAGATGCAGCCACCTGAGAAGACGTCCCAACCAGTGGGGTCGCAGTATCCAGTGTGAACAGGCCGGACACCGGGTCCCGGGGGAACGTGGTGAGGGGGGCACTAGTGGTCGCCTCGGTACAGTCAGCGTACCGCTCGTGACCAGGGAACGTAGTGGTGACGCCAAGGTCCTGGAGGCAGCCGACACCAACTAGGTTCTTGGAGAACGAGGGGATGTGCAGTCCTGTAAGAGAGCCCGAAGGAACCGCCGGACAGGGATGGGTGGTGGAACTGCGAGCGACTACCGGGCCGGAGGAGGGGTCGGCAAGAGAAACTGCAGTAGGAGTAGAAAGAGGCGTCAGCGTAGTGGAGTCGTGGAAGAAACACCGAGAAGCGCCAGAGTTGAGGGTGAAGCAGAGAGCAGCAGTGGCGTCTGAAGTCGGAGCAGCGATTGCAGAACCTAGGCTAAACAAAGTAGGGGATCCTACGCCTGACGCAGCAGGGGAGGCACAACTAGACATGCGTACACTAGGCAACAAGGGGTAGTAAGAAGCAGTCACACTAGAGTCATCAGCATACATCACATGCAGATCTGAACGCTACGGCAAAGCAAGCTATGCCAGTCGACGGGCCGAAGCGCTGACGAAACACGTCGTCTAGGCGATGGAAACAGCGAACGGAAGAGCGACCGAGCTTACCGCAAACAAAACCACAGCGAGGACCGGTCTGGAGCTGGTACTGACAGCGCGCGTCACCCGAACCGCCACCCGACAGCCCACCACACGCACGACCACCACGTCCATTGCCACCAGCAGCGCCAGGCCACCAGGGCGGGAGACCACTCGCGCGCCTCTGCTGCCGCGGCTGCTGCGGCTGGTGCGAGGGCTGCTGCTGCGGCTGGTGCGTGTCCGGCTGCGACACCTGCGGCTGCTGAGACGGCTGCTTGGCTGCACCTATCAGGGTCCCCTCGTCAGCGCTACCACTAGGCGACTCGACTCCACCACCACCTCCACCTGCACCGCCACCCCCACCGCCGCGTCCAGCCTTGGGGCGGCGGCCCTTCCAGGATCTGCGCTGCAGCTGCAGACTCAGCCACAGCTGCAGAACCGTCGGAGAAGGTGCACTGAGCGGGGGCACAACCCTGAAAGATAGGGACCGGCATAGTACCGCTGTTCTGGGCGATAGAGCGCTGGCGGGTCTCTTTGGCAGTCAGGGTGTCACAGGATCGAATGTGTCGAGGAAAGATTGCACTATCGATTAATACAAGGCGCTTTTATACTTCCAGAGTACATCAGGTAACCAAGTTTATCCTATCCAAGGGAATAGACCCTTCTATAAAATAGAATCACCCTGCGTATAGCCACGCGAGGCTATTGGCTTTAAGGGATTATGGCAAGATTACACTAGATATAGCGCGCCAGTACATCCCGAGCCTGGTCGGTGATATAATTATAATAACAGAATAAACCAAAGGATAATGGAAAATGGAGAATAGGAAACCAATTAAGATGGGATAAAAAGAGAGATGGAATAGAAAGGAAGTAGGAAAAAGGACAAGTGGTGTAACGGGGTCGTACTCTCACACTTCCCCCCCTCAAAGCTGGGTGGTAGAAGTAACACCCTGCTTGACAAGGTAGTCATGAAGAGGACGTCGGGCGTTACCCATGTCGGTTTCAGGTACCCAGCTGTCCTCAGAAGGATCATAACCCTTCCAATGAATGAGAAGCTCCATGGTGCTATTCTGACGACGGCGGTGTGCAAGCATGGACTCGACCTCGTACTCGGGTTCATTCTGGACGAGGACGGGCGGCGGCGGTAGCGGTTGGCGCCCGACAAAGATCGTGTTCGGATTCCGATAGGGCTTCAGAAGTTGGACATGGAAGGCGTTGTGAATCTTCCAGGCAACTGGCAGGCGTAAGCGGAAGGTAACAGGAGTGACCGGTGCTTCAACGCGGAAAGGCCCGCAGAAGCAAGGTCAAATTTTAGATGGGAAGTCGCTGATGTCAAGGTTGTGGGTGTCAACGAGCACCTCGTCTCCTATGGTAATGGTGTGGTCATAGCGATGGCGATCGGCCTAGCACTTCTGTTGCTGTTGAATGTCGAGGAGGCGCTTGTGGGTCCGATCCCAAAGCTGATGCATGGTTGTGATGAAATCGTGTGCAGGTTGGACTGTAGCGGATGTTGTCGATTTCTGTGGTTTGAGTGGGTGGCGTCCGTAGCAGAAGAAGAACGGCGTCTGTCCAGTAGCAGCATGTGTAGCGTTGTTGTAAGCAAACTCTAGAACGGGCAGGTGCAAGTCCCATTTGGAGATCTCGTCCTTGCAGGCTGCTCGGAGGAGTTGCTCGACAATCTGGTTGAGGCGCTCGGTCTGTCCGTCTGTCTGCGGATGGTTAGCGGATGACATGGCAAGTTTGGTCCCAAGCAGAGACATCAGTTCCTTCCAGAACTTGCTGGTGAACTTGGGGTCTCGGTCGGAGATGAGTGTGGTTGGAATGCCATGCTGTGAGATGATGTATCGAACAAAGAGTTGTGCTATTTCTTCGGTGCGTGCTCTCGTGTGTGTCGGGATGAAGTGTCCCATTTTTGAGAACTTGTCAATGACGACAAGGATTGCGTCATGACCGCTGGTGGTAGGTGGTAACCCGGTGATGAAGTCCAGGCTAACCACTTGCCATGGTTGTTCTGGGACAGGAAGAGGCTACAGTAGTCCCGCCTTCTTCTGCTTGCTGCTCTTCATCCGTTGACATGTATCACACGAGGTGACAAATTTCTAAACATCTTCTGCCAAGTCGGGCCAGTAGTAGTGATTTGCAATACCGGTCAGCGTCTTGTTGCTACCGAAGTGTCCGGCGTAGAGGACGTCGTGGTATTCTTCGAGTAGTAACTGGCGCAAAGGAGGGTAATTGGGTACCCAATTTTTTGTTAATCCTTTTCGGTACGCGATGTCATTGTCCCACTGGAGAAGATGTTGCTTTTCTGCCAAGGGAATTTCGGGGTCGATGGTGTACCCGTGTGTGAAGAGTCCCTTGAGTAGTGGATTCATCCCTTCGACCTGAATAGCGGCAACGTGTGCAGGCCGGCTAAGGGCGTCTGCTTTGTTTTTGTGGCCGGGCTTGTACACGATGTCGTAGTGGAAGTGCGTCTTGAAGAAGTCGATCCACCGGACCTGTCGCCTGGAAAGGTTGGGTTTTGCCTTCAAGTATTTCAGGCTGCAGTGGTCGGTGTAGACGGTTGTTGTTCGTCCTTCGAGATAACATCTCCATGCTTTGAAGGCGATGACGATAGCAAGAGCCTCTTTGTCGTGTATCGGGTAGTTTAGTTCTGCCCCGTGTAGTTTCTTGCTCAGGTAGGCGATTGGTTGCAGTCCATTCCCCTGGTCTTGCATCAAGACTGCTCCCACTGCATGGTCGCTGGCGTCAGCTTCGATAACGTAGTCGCGTTCGGGTTCTGGCAACATGAGTACAGGTGCGGACGTGAGTGCTTGTTTTAGCTGCTCCATGGCTTCCTGGTGCTTCGGCTCCCATTTGTAGGGCGTGTTCTTCTTCAGCAGATTCGTGAGTGGTGCTGCAAGTTTTGCGTACTGTGGCACGAACCTGTTGTAATAATTAGCGAAGCCTAGGAATTGTTGCAACTCCTTCACGTTCTCGGGTATCTTCCACGTACGTACGGCTTCGATTTTCTTGGGGTCGACGTGAACTTTTTGAGCGCTCACCATGTGCCCTAGGAATTGGACCTTCTCAAGGGCGAATTCGCTCTTGGACAATTTGACGTAGAATCGTTCCCGTCGAAGAATTTCTAAGACGCGTCCTAGGTGTTCGACGTGTTGCTTCATGTCGCGCGAGTAGATGAGGATGTCGTCCAGGTACACCACCACACACTCGTCCAAAACTGGGCGTAGAATGTGGTTCATTTCTACTTGGAACGTTGCCGGTGCGTTGGTAAGTCCGAACAGCATGACCAAATACTCGTACGATCCGTATCGAGTTCGGAAGGCCGTTTTGTGGATGGAATTTTCTGCCATTCGTATCTGCCAGTATCCGGACCGCAGATCCAGTTTGGAAAATACAGTAGCTCCCCGAAGCTGGTCAACTAGGTCATCGATTCGTGGTATCATATATTTATTCTTGATGGTCTGCTTGTTGAGAGCTCGGTAATCGATGCACATGCGCAGGCTTCCGTCCGGTTTCGGTGTGAAGAGCACTGGGGCACCGTATGGCGAAGTGGATGGTCGGATGAGCCCTTTGGCGAGGAGATACTCGATCTGTTATTTCATGTCAGTGAGCTCAGTAGGGCTGAGCTGATATGGTGCTCGGAAGGTCGGCTTCAAACCCGGTTCCTCCACTATCTCGTATTGATGCATTCGGTATGGCGGTAGCTCGTTCGGAAGATCGTCAGGAAGAATGTCTTGGAACTCCTTCAACAATTCCTTGATCTTTCCCGGAGGTTCCGCGGGCTTCTCTCCATCGGTTTTCACCCCTTTTGCTATCGCCAGGAACCGGGTGTCGGTTCGCTTCACGTCCTTCTCGAATAGTGCGAGTGTCTCCACTGGGATATCTCCTATATCGTCCCAGTTGGGTAGTTGGACTCTCCTTCCATTGTTGTAGATACTTGCGGTTCGGTTTACCCAGTTGATCTCGGGGTTGAATCTTTTCAGGAAGTCTCGCCCGAATATCAAGTCAAGCCCTTTGATGTTGGTGATGGGGAGTGCAAGTTTCCAGCGCAGTGGTCCAATTTGCAGGTGTAATACTGCTTCGCCGTGTACTAGTAACTTGCTGCCGTCCACCATCGTTGCAGAGAATCCTGAAGGCTTGTACTCTTCCCGAAGTCGGTCGATTACTGCCTTGTCGCAGACGGTGTGCGATGCTCCACTGTCCACGAGTGCTTGGAGGCGTCGTCCTTTGCAGATGACCTCGAGCACGAGGGGCGGGCGTTGCTCGGAATACCCAAAGATAGTTTCATTAATAGGGTCATAGGGTACATCCCAATAGTCCATACAAACCTTTTCGTTGTTATCTACTTTTGAGCTGGCAGCTGGCCGAGGCTGCTTGGAGAACAGCTCTTCTCCAGGGCCCGGAGTTTCCTTGATGACTGTGCGTGTCATTGATGCCGAAGTTGCTGAACTGGATGCATCCGGAGGAGGAGTTTGGGGTTTTTGCAGCTTCTTATAAACCCCCTGCTTCCTCTTGAGCTGCTTCAGCTCCACCGACGTCTTCCCTGGGGAGCGGGTAGTTGCTGTGGGCTGGTGTCGGGAGAGGACGTTGACTCCGTGGAAAGGTAGGCTTCTTTCCACGCTCCTCAATTGTTTCCCCAAGTTGTCCAGTACCAGTATAATCTCCACATCTTTCTACTTCTTTTGGAGTCCCTCACGAAATTTCTCCAAGGCTCTAGCCCCTCGAGAATCATAAGTTTTCATTAAAGCATCTTTATAGGATAGCTTTAACGAATCCTTATAATTTCTTGGGTCTGGCAAAGACTGGTCGTGGGGTGGAGATTTTTCCCCATCATTTCCTCCTGCTTGCGTCGAATCAGCTTTGTTGAATTTGATTTTCCCAGAATCCCACGGCCGCTTCCAGATCTTTTCTTTTTTGCCAGCTAGATCCGCAATCACTGGCGACTCCCGTTTTTTGTCTTCTGATTGGCCGAAGGAATTCCGCCACTGTTGCGTGCCCGATACTCTGCGCGTGCGGCTTTCATTTTGTTGCAGTCGAAGATTCGATGGCCCGGCACCCCGCAAAAATCACACGTGTAGTTGGTGTTTTTCGGACGTGGCCGCCCGTCAAACCTGTCGATTTCCATCGGGTCAGTGAATGTGGTGTAAGCCGAGCGGTCGCCCTGTCGCGTACTGCCGACGTGCGCTCGCCGTGTCCCGGCGTTGACCATGTCTAAGCGCTCCGCTGCCGAAACGACGTCACTGTAGCTCGCGTAGTTTGACGCGGCCACCTGGCGTTTGACTTCGGTCTTCAGCCTGGCGAGGTAAGACTGTACTTTTTGCCCTTCGGTCAGGTCGGGAATTCGGTTATAAAATTCTTCCATCTGCTGCGTATACTGTGCTACACTCCCAAACTGTCGATGTCGATGAATTTTTTCCCGGGCAAGGAAACCTGAATTTATTGGCTCGAAGCGTTTCAGCACGTCAGTGCAGAACTGCTGCCACGTGGCTTCACCGTGGATGAATGTGCTGTTGCCGCCAATCCACTCGAGTGCCGGCCCTCGCATCAGCATCGCCGCGAGTCGTACGCGTTGTCCGTCCCAGACTGGCGAGCTCCATCTGACGGCTGCGCAGTAGATCTCCATCCCAGCGATCCATCTGCGTGCATCGGAGTTTCGATCGCTCGGATCGAACAGCTCAGGTGGGCGCGGTTTTGGAGCCTCGAGAAACTGTTGCGTCATCGCCGTTGTCGAGTCGTGCTGCGCTCCGGCGAGTCGAGTTACTCGCTCGAACTCGTTTCGCCACGCTTCGCGATCCGCTCGCATCTCCTCCTGAAGGGCTGCGATGCTCGCGAAGAGCTGCTGGGTAACCTCGGCGTTGTCGAAGGTCGCCATCCTGTTCAAAGCACGCGCGGGTGGGGTAATTCACAAACCGCAGAGCTGGTGCTTACCAGAATCGGCGTCGAATTGGTCGCCCCCGGCGGTTTTTCGAGGCAGGTTTTCCCGCTGCTGCTGCTTTGTTGAGCGCGGCCGAGTGAGAAAAGTTCTGATTACCAAGTGTCACAAGATCGAATGTGTCGAGGAAAGATTGCACTATCGATGAATACTAGGCGCTTTTATACTTCCAGAGTACATCAGGTAACCAGGTTTATCCTATCCAAGGGAATAAAATCTTCTAGAAAATAGAATCACCCTGCGTATAGCCACGCGAGGCTATTGGCTTGAAGGGATTACGGCAGGATTACGCTAGATATAGCGCGCCAGTACATCCCTAGCCTGGTCGGTGATATAATTATAATAACAGAATAAACCAAAGGATTATGGAAAATGAGGAATAGGAATCCAAATGGAATGAGATGAAGACCAAATGAATCAGGATAAATGGAGGAATGAAATGGAGAATAGGAAAAGAAATAAGATGGGATAAAAAGAGGGATGTAATAGAAAAGAAGTAGGAAAGAGGACAAGTGGTGTAACGGGGTCGTACTCTCACACAGGGTGTCGACAAAGTAAGTGAGGGTGAGGTCACCGGGGTGGATGCTAAGGAAGTGGTCGCGGGCAGTAGCAAGACAATCAGGGAGGCGGGTGGCAAGCAGGTAGAGGGCAGAGCAGAGGGGCGGCTGAAAGGCTCTAAGCTAGGGCTCAGTGCAAGCAGCACGCCAGGTCACGTCTATCGTGCGCAGGTGAGCGGCGAGGTCAGCGACAGTAGGGAAAGACGCAAGGTCAGGGAAGAGCATCGGCAGGATTAGGCGACCTACAGAGGCAGCGGGCGGGGTGGGAATAGCGCTTGACGACCGCATCTAGAAACTCCTGCGCAGTCGTGACTGACCTAAAGCGTGGGCGCTCAGACAGGGGGAGGGCATGACTGACTGCAAGCTACGCGACAGCGTCACGTACAGTGGCGGATTAAATTGCCCGGATGTTTAACACTTTGAAACGTATCGTTATGCAACACATGTTTCGAAAATAGTAACACCCGTTTTTTTCCATTCTGTTACTCGGTTTTTGAGTTCTGCTTCATCCGTTTCTTGCTTGGCGCGATTGTGACACTAACGGAAAGTGGGGTTGAAATTTACTACTCGACTGTCGATGTGGACATTTCCTACCGAGCGGAAGAGTAGATCTATTTTCCCCCGTCGCTCAGTGTGTACATCGTCACGCGCACCAGTTCCTAGCTTAGTTGTTAGTCCGGAAGCGAGCCTACGACCGCATCGCTATGAAGCCGTTAAATGAGAAGAAGCGCGCGAGGATCAGAAGCATGTTGCGTGCGGGGCATTCGACTAGGAAAATAGGGAAACTTCTTGGCATAGGCAAGAGCACCGTGCACGATTACGGTATGAAACTCGCTGAGGAGACTAGTCGCGAGGAGGTGCGACCTACGATGCCTTCGGCCGGCCGCCCCCGCTTAATCACAACCCGTCTCCAGCGCGGAGTTATACGTGCGATTACTAGCGGCGAGGCGAAAAGCTCTTCAGACGCGGCCAAGATGTTGTTGGAGAAGCACGATCTCGCCGTAGACTCGAAGACGGTCCGCAACTCTTTACGATCCGCGGGGCTGATCGCCGTGCATCAGCCCAAGAAACCCAGGCTCTCACCGAAAAACATCCGCGATCGTCTCGACTTCGCGCGGGCGCATGCCGACTGGACGCTGGAGGACTGGAAGCGGGTGATTTGGTCTGACGAGACGAAGATTAACCGCTACTGCTCCGACGGACGTGCGTACGCCTGGATTCGCGAGGGCACCAGCCTTCGGAGCCACCAAGTCCAACAGACAGTTAAGCATGGGGGCGGTTCTGTGATGGTGTGGGGTTGCATGACGTATGAGGGGGCGGGGTTCATGTGCAAGATAGATGGCAGGATGGATGGGCCGCTGTATCGCAGCATCTTGCAAGATGAGCTCAAACAGACCATCGATTTTTTCAAGCTTTCCCCCTCAGAGGTCATTTTCCAGCACGACAATGATCCCAAGCACAGGTGTCGTCTGGTCCAAGACTGGCTTGGGGAGCAGGAGTACGCGGTGCTGGAATGGCCGTCGTGCTCCCCGGACCTTAACCCAATTGAGCACCTGTGGGCATACTTGAAAAGGCAGCTGGGGAAGTACGAAAAGCCGCCAAGGGGAATGCTGGAGCTGTGGGAGAGGGTGCAGGAGGAATGGGACAAGATACCGCCGGAGGTGTGTGCAAACCTGATCGACAGCCTGCCGAGGAGGATCAAGGCAGTGATTCGGGCAAAGGGACGCTGGACTAGGTACTAGTTTTCCTAGAATCTAGTGTGATACCATTTTCCGGTACAAATTGTCCACATGTTCTCCCATGCTATGCTTAGGAGTTTAAGGACCATGTGTGGTACTACTTTGGTGTTTGAACACTGGAGTGACTGCTCTAACTGAACTTCTCAGCGTTAATGCACACCGTACATTAAGGCTTAATGTATACGCCTCTGCACTCATAAAAATGCCAAAAAAGGCAAAACATGTGGACAATTTAATCCGCCACTGTAACAGCCAAACAGAGCGGGCAAGGGCAGCAGCTGCGGCGGACTCACGGTCAGCGGACGAGGGGTCAGCGGGCAGGGGAGCAGGGGGGTCAGGGCAGGGGAGCGTGCCGTCAAGGTGGACCGCCAGGGAGTGGCCGTCCTGCCGCTGACCAGTGAGATGACGCCGGAGGTCGACCAGCCACGTGTCAAACTCGAGCGGCTGTCCCTCTGCGTCGAAGCGGAGCACGGAGTCCGCCATCAGGAGCGATGCAGAAACGGCGCAGAGCTGTGCGGTGCAGAGCGGTGCTATGCGGTGCTGTGCAGTGCAGGGCGGTGCAGTGCAGTGCAAAGCGGTGCTGAGCGGTGCAGATCGGTGCAGAGCGGTGCCGGGCCAAGCAGGAACAGGCACGGGGGCCAGTGAGGAACGGGCAAGGGGCCGGCTAGGAACGGGCGCGCTGGGGCCTGGTGGAACGGGCACACGGGTCAAGCGAGGAGCGGGCGCGAGGGGCCAGCTAGGGGGGGGTGCGAGGGCCGGCTGGAACGGGCGCTAGGGGACGAGGAGCCAGCTAGGACGGGCGGTAGGAGGGGAGGAGCCGACTAGGACGAGTGCGTGGGACTGGCTGGGACAGGCGCGCGGGCCGGCGAGGACGAACGTGCGGGCCGGCTGAGACGAGCTGAGACAAACGTGCGGGCCGGTGGGGACCGGGCTCTAGGGGCCGGCTAGGACAGGCGCGAGGGGGGGGGGGGGGGGGGGGGGGGGGGGGGCAGGGGGGGGGGGGTCAGGAACGTGCGCTAGGGGCCGACGTGAACGAGGCGCGAGGGCCGGCTCGGACGGGCGTAAGTGTCAACTTATACATATTATCTATGTAGAAGTTATAGGCTAGACTGAGGTATGCTTCTAGTGAGTACAACCAACTAGTATTTGTTCTAGGTTTCCACCTCTAGTAATCATTTGTTTCTACGTTAACATGGTATCACGCTTAGGTTAGGATCCCCCCGCCTACCGCTTCCGCCCGTCGCGCCTCCTAGGCGCCGTCGCGCCCCCTAGGCCCCGTCGCGCCCCCCCTGGGCCCCGTCGCGCTCGTTAGGCCCCGTCGCGCCCCCCCTGGGCCCCGTCGTGCCCGCTGGGCCCCGTCGCGCCTCCTAGGCCCCGTCGCGCTCCCCCTAGGCCCCGTCGCGCCCGCTGGGTCCCGTCGCGACCCCTAGGCCCTAACGCGCCCCCGCTGGGCCCCGTTGCGCCTCCTAGGCCCCGTCGCGCCCCCCATGGGCCCCGTCGAGCCCGCTGAGCCCCGTCGTGCCTCCTAGGCATCGTCGCGCCTCCTAAGCCCCGTCGCGTCCCCCCCCTCTGGGCCCCGTCGCGCCCGTTCGGCCCCGTCGCGCCCCTCCTAGGCCCCGTCGCGCCCGCTGGGCCCCTTCGCGCTTCCTAGGCCCCGTCGCGCCTGCTAGGCCCCGTCGCGCCCCCCCTGGGCCCCGTCGCGCCCGTTAGGCCCCGTCGCGGCCCCCCTGGGCCCCGTCGTGCCCGCTGGTCCCCGTCGCGCCTCCTCGGCCCCGTCGCGCCCCCCCTGGGCCCCGTCGTGCCCGCTGGGCCCCGTCGCGCCCCTTAGGCCCCGTCGCGCCCGCTGGCCCCTGTCGCGCCTGCTGTTAGCGCTCGCCCGCCTGGCCTCCTCCTAGTGCCGCTCGGCCTCCTCCTAGTGCCGCCCGGCCTCCTCCTAGTGCCGCCCGGCCCCTTCCTAGCGCCGCCCGGCCTCTCCTCAGCGCTGCCCGGCCCCTCCTCGTGCCCGACCGGCCCCAGCAGCACCAGCCTGGCCCCTCCCAGCACCAGCCCGGCCCCAGAGCACCTGCCCGCCTCCCCTGCTCGGCCTGCCGTGTCCTCTCGGGCCCTGTGTCTTCTGCTTGCCTGCGCTGGGACGCCTAGCTGCTGCCCTACTGGAGAGTGCTGCCGCCGTGTCCCCGCGCCGCTGTGCTCCTGTGCCGCTGAGGAGCTGTGCTGCTGTGCCGCTGTGTCGCTGAGGAGCTGTGCCGCTGACCCTGCACGATGGCTGACTTTGTGCTCCGCCTGGACGCTGAGGGCCACGCGGTTGACTTCGCCGCCTGGCTCTCCGATCTTCGCCGCCAGCTTACAGGTCAGCGCCAGGATGGCCACTCTCTGGTTGTCCATGCTGATGGCTTGCTCCCCCGTCCCCCTGCACCTACTCCCCTCCCTGCTGACCCCTCCTCTGATGACCGTGAGGCTTTCTCTACTGCTGCGCTGGCCTGTGCGATCTGGGACTCACGCGATGCAGTAGCTCAGGTTGCTATTAGTCACGCCCTCCCTGTGTCTGAGCGCTCGCGTTTTGCTACTGTTGAAACGGCCAAAGCTTATTTAGACGCCGTTATTGCTCGCTATTCCACCCCTGCCTCCGCTTCTGCTGGCCGCTTGCT